GATTCCTACTCCTACTAGGAGTAGGTTTCCCCCCTTTCCTACTCCAACTAGGAGGGGGAAGGAAGGGAAGAGGGAGAGGAAGGAAAGAGGGAACTTATACATGCTCATATTGATTCCTACATATTCTACGAAGATCTTTATCGGTCAAACCGCATAACAACATACGTTGTTCCCTTTGTCATCGGTATGTTACTTGCCCGAGATTCGATCGTCGGTATCTCAATACTTAGTTCAATCTCGTTACCGGCAAGTCTCTTTACTCGTTCTGTAATGCTACATCCCATAACTAACTCATTAGTTACATTGCTTGCAAGGCTTATAGTGATGTGCATTACCGAGAGGGCCTAGAGATACCTCTCCGATATACGGAGTGACAAATCCTAATCTCGATCTATGCCAACTCAACAAACACCATCGAAGACACCTGTAGAGCATCTTTATAGTCACCCAGTTACGTTGTGATGTTTGATAGCACACTAAGTGTTCCTCCGGTATTCGGGAGTTGCATAATCTCATAGTCATAGGAACATGTATAAGTTATGGAGAAAGCAATAGCAGTAAACTAAACGATCATCGTGCTAAGCTAACGGATGGGTCAAGTCAATCATATCATTCTCTAATGATGTGATCCTATTAATCAAATGACAACTCATGTCTATGGTTAGGAAACATAACCATCTTTGATTAATGAGCTAGTCAAGTAGAGGCATACTAGTGACACTTTGTTTGTCTATGTATTCACACATGTATCAAGTTTCCGGTTAATACAATTCTAGCATGAATAATAAAAATTTATCATGATATAAGGAAATATAAATAACAACTTTATTATTGCCTCTAGGGCATATTTCCTTCAGGCGCGTCACGGGTGGTGCGCACCTCCTTCCCCTTATGATGGTGGCGGATTAGCACGAACACGCAGATTGGGAGTTAGGGCGATTGATGGAGGATTTTTCCATTGCGGGCCATAGGGAAGTATGATATGAAGAAGAGAGAACGACATGGCGAAGGTGAGGTGGGTGTCATATGCTTTTAAGGGAAAGGGCTCCAGCGAGAAATGTCCCCGACGACGGAAACCAAGCGAGAAGAAAATGGTCCGATAGAAAAAGGGAAGGATGTGTTGTGGGGATGGGGCTTTTGTGTTGGACTCGTGTGTTGGAGATAACATGACAGATAGTCCGAACAACCACATTTCTTGCCCACATATGGTCTAGAGTTGAGGGAGCCCGGACTGTCCATCTAGTTGAATTTTGTGGAGCCCGCTGCGCGCCCATTTGATGCCCAAACACGTCTGGACGTATGAGGGAGAAATGAGCTTCAACTTTGAAGATGACCTTAATAGTTTGTTTGATTCATTTATATGCATTGTAGCTCGTAGTAATGCACGGGCGTTCTAATAGTAAATTTTAACACCTCACAACTGCAAATTTGTACAACTAAATTTTGCACACATTCGGGTATACAATAAGCGCGCAATTTTCAGGCGGCTCCTTATATTTAGGGCGCCAAATCCGCATCACTCTTTCGCGTTTGCTACTTCTCAGTTGCTTGAGAATTTTGCTTGCATTGTTTGATTCCGCATGGATGAGAGGCAAGTTCGACGTGACTCATTGCGGCGGCGGCGGAGGAGGAGAGGAAGAAGGTTCATAGGTTAACCAGGACCTTATTGGAGTGGAGACCACGCCTTGTTGCGACGTCGCCGACAGAGGAGAGGCAAGCGCGGGGTGTTCGGAATCCAATGATTTGATTGAGGCCCTGTTCGGTACCACTTCACTCCACAACTCCGGAAACGGAGTTGACAAAGCTGCAATGTAAAATGGAGTTGCAATTTCCCCGCTTCGCAGATTTCAGGAACAGGCGATTACCGAACAGGACCTGATTCTGAACTTCTCTTATGCTGGCTCACGTAGTCACGGGCCGCACTCATATGGTGCGACAAACATGGCAAAGTGCACCTAAAATAACTTATCATTGACGAAGTTGTACGACAACCAAACCTTCCTCCATCATCAGTTTTAATGATGCTTACCGGCGGCTACGTGCGTACAACTTCAACGGAGCCACAATACTGAGAAGAAGGCTTCTTCTTCCATGTCGCTTCAAATGTTACGGGCACACAAGGAGAAGGAATCACTGAGAGCATCTCTAACAGAAGCGTTATATAAGTGACGCGCGGTATAAAAGTTGTTTTTAGCACACGGACCTGATTTGAAGTCTCCAGCAGCCGCACAAAAAACGCACGCGCTATAACTAATACATCGCGCGCATTAAAAAGGCATCACGTGTAGTATATTTAGTGCGTCCGGTCGCATGCGCTACAAATTCTGAGCTGCTGCAGATGAAACCGCTTGATTGGGATCGCTGGGCTCGCACGCTGTGCATATTTTACAACGCTCGTTGGAGCAAACGTTTCTAGCGCCTAAAAAATCTACTTGCATGCAGTAAACCCATATTTTGGACGCCACATGTTGAGCGGCTGGCTGTTGGAGATGCTCTGAGGCACTGAGCTGCTCAAGGATCAGCTTTCCCGTTTGGCATCGGCAGCAGGCGCAAGTGCGCGAACACTAGGCAGCCATGGCTGGCGAGTCCATCGTCTCCGGCGTCGTGGGGGGCATGGTCGGCAGGGCGATGTCCCTCCTCGCCGGGCAGCTCCTGGACCAGCAGCCGGAGCGGAGCGTCGAGGCCAAGCTGCGGCGGCTGAGGCGCCTGCTCGCCAGGGCCGAGAGCGCCGCGGAGGCCGCCGGGGCGAGGCGGATCACGAGCCGCGCGCTGCTCTCCTGGCTCGCGGAGATCGTCGACGGGGCGCGCCGGGGGCGCTACCTCCTCGACGCGTTCCCGGTTCCGAGCGGAGCAGGCGATCAGGACGACGGCCATGCTGGCAACAAGGTGGTGCCGCTGGCGCGCTCTTTCTCCATGCCTAGCTCGTTCAACTCCGCTAAGCGCCTGCGCGTCGCGGCCATGAAGCTGCTGCTCGGCGACGGCGACGGCAGAGCCGACGAGCTGGATGGTGTCCTCGCGGACCTGGAAAGCGTCGCCAGCGGTCTCACAGAGTTCATCGTGCTGCTGCAGATGTGCCCGCCGGCGCTGCACCGGCCGCTTGCCACGAGCATCTACGCGGACAGCCAGATGTTTGTCCGGCACGTCGAGAGACGCCGCGTTTTCGAGTTCTTGCTGCAAGATGACGAGGGCGAGCCGACGCTGGCAGAGCCAGGTGTCCTCCCTATAATCGGCTCCGCCGGCCTGGGGAAGACCACGCTCGTGCAGCACGTCTGCGAGGAGCCCGCGGTGCGCCGCCGCTTCTCGCTGGTCATGCTGCTAGACTTCCATTGCATGAGCCTCATGGCAGCCGGCGAGACGGCGCTCTTCCCACGCTCTCTGTTCACGCCAAACGCCACCAGCCTCTCCGCCGACGGCGAGCAGACGAGGCTCCTAGAGCGGAAGCTGCGCGGCGAGAGGTTTCTGGCCGTCTTCGACAACGTCAACCGGCGCAAAAGGCAGGTGGTCGACGCGATCATGCAAACCCTGCGGCGCGCCGGCAGGCGAGGGAGCAAGGTCGTCGTAACCAGCAGCGACGCCGGGCATGTTGCGGGCCTTGGCACCGCGGAGCCGATCGTTCTGCGTCCCCTGCCGCCGGAGGAGTACTGGTTCTTCTTCAGGGCGCACGCGTTCGGCGGCGCCGAGGCAGACCCGCGGCTGGCGGCGGCGGGCCAGGCCATCGCCAAGAGGCTGGACGGCTCCTTCTTCGGCGGGAAGATAGTGGGCGCGCTCCTGAGGTCCCGTCCGGACGCGCGGCTATGGCGTAGCGTCCTGAGCAGCAGCTTCAGCATCGCCGACGTGTGGTGCCTCGGCAGCGAAGGCTGCGTCGCCGCCGCGGCCGGCAGCCTCCTCCCGCGGCATGTGACCATGCGCTGCGTCACCGTCTCCGGCTCGCCGATGAGAGGGCTCGTCGGAATCCAAGAAACCTCTTTGGCTGTTCCTGCTCCTCCTTGTCCAGACGACGGCGGCAGCCGCAGCCCGGAGTTGCCTGTGCTGCTGTGCAAGTCTGTGTTCCCTGGCTACTGCCTGTACTACACTGCCCATTGCACGATCGACAGAGAGATCAATCAGTAAAATGCTCGTACGGGAAGTTCCAGTTGATAGTGTTGTTGCAAAGAATATCGTTGTGCTTTCATCCAACTTGCTGAATGCTTTTTCGGAAGAACAAACAAACACATGGTTTGAAGAAAAAACCAGAAAGAAATTTGAAGAAAACAGTTCGGAAAAGAATCACTGTGGTTCTCTTCACTTGTAGAACAGGACAGGAGAGCTTCTATCTGCATTGGCATGTGATGATCATGAGATAATGATCACAGGACTTTGAGCAGCTGAACCTCAAACACCAGCGGTTCCTTGGCATGCGACAGCAGGCTCCGGCGTGGTCCAAACTGCGGTCGCAACCAAATAAAGCACAAGAATGATCACAAATCATCAGGAAACAAAAGGAGAAAGGTAAATATGTTGCTTCCGGAGTATAGATGTGAAAGAAACATGACAAGATTCAGATAAGTTCATAAGCTAGCTAGGCCGTACCTCCTCAGGGACGGGCTGCAAGCTCTCGTCGATATAGCCTACTTCAGGGGGTATCAGAGCCCTCCTCTTGCCTGCAAAGCCACGGAGAAATAAAAGTTTCTAGTGGCTAAAACAAGAAAACTGTCAGAAAATGCCTGAAACTGTACAGCACCTCCGGCTTTCATGCCGATTATGACGTCTTTGAGGCCTCGAATCATCTACAAGAAAAATGATTCATCTGTCAAGAGAAGCCATAAGGATGTGAAATTGCTATGGGAAACCTTTAAATCATCTGTAGAAAGGTCAATTGCCAAGAGAAATCCTGTCCTGGAACCTCTTGCACGTCGAGTCGAAGTGTCACCGGCTTACTCTCGCCGCTGAACTGATTCACCGTGCTGCATCAGAGAAAACAGACAGACAAAAGCATAATGAGAGTCAAAGAAGAGCAGTATTGGTAGTACTGAAAATGCAACACATATATGCACTTTACAAGCTACTACTAGTACTAAATGAACAACACAATCAAGGATTCAATCAATGGCAATGTTCTCTTGACCTATGCACGAAATAACCATTTGCACGGCGGCACACATAGTTGAACTGCACTAGATTGCCTTCCCGAGCTTCCGGCCCTTCACCTTCGACTACATCTTCAGATCAAGAAACAGAGTTCTTCCATTTATAAGCTCTCATCTCAGCAACTGGAGTATTTATGTAAAAAGATCTCACTAATGGCAAGTACCTTCAAGCTTTACTCCACTGTCCAGCTTTCTGTACCTGAACACTTCAAACATAAATCAACCATTATGCATAGCTGCATACTACAAAATATAAGATACATAATGTAAGAATTTCACAAGAATCAGTTTTTTTTTAGAACGAAGGCTCAAGGAGAGCCCGGCTTTGAATTAACAAAGCCATCAACCGGCCAGGATTACAACCACTGCACTACAAACTCGAACAAAAAAAAAACACGGCAAGATACAAGGGTGCTGGAAGGCAACTCTCAAAACCTCACACACTACAGCTAGGAGATAGCACATGATAAGCATGAGCTGAAGCACGCAGAGGCCCTCGTCCACCCAAGGCTCACCAGGGAAGGGGAAATGGGGTTCCGGGAAGCGCCCGCTGTCGAGGATAGGCTATGACGGCACCGAACACCAAAGCCCTGGAACAACATCACCATCCACTCCCACTGTCGAAAGAGGCCCCTGCCTCCTCGCCTGGCTCGAAAGGCGCCGAGCCGTCGACATATGGGTTGCTCACCCTAGAACATGGATGGAAGGATGCAACCAGAAGGAGTAGGAACAGAGCACACCCTACATGACTAAGAAACTTCACCAGAAACACCGCATCACCGCTGCCCACTGACGATCCTTTGGAGAGGAGAAAGATGCCGGTCAGACAGCAACAGGGTGTCCAGGGAGGACGGAGCAACGAGGAGGCAGGGCCAAGGCCGAGGAATGACGCTCCGGCACTCACAACTTGCACTACTGTAGCCGCCGGAGGAGGGGAACCCGATCCCCTCCTGGCCAGAGGCCGCCGGACCAAGCTGTCACCAGTTGCACAGAGAGCACCAGAAGAAACCCGAACACTGCCGGACCTGCCAAGCTGCCGCCGCCGCCACTTGGGGCACACAGTCGCCGCCGCCCGACAACCACCACACCGTAGTGCCCACAATCCAAAAAGCATCCAAGGCGACGACTTCAAGAAGCAAACGGAGCCAAGAGCACCGTCGCCGCCCAACAAAGTTCGAGCTTTCACCCGGGAGGCTAGGGGAAGGGGGGGGTGGAGCAAAAGACCTGAATGGCGCCTCCAAGAAGGGGAGCGGCGTCCATGGACGTCGCCGCCATGGATTTCTCCCGGTCAAGGCTCCACACCACCAACACCACATCCAGCTCCAGGCACCGGAGAACCAAGTCGACCCGGACCAGATCTGAAGGGGTGGAGCACGCAGGGCAGCAGAAGGGGGAAGGGGCGGCCAGATCCGGAGCCGAAGAGGCCAGAAGCCCCACCGCCGGCGCCGCGGATCTCGTCCGCCGGGGAGCTTGCTGCCCGCGCAGCCAAGCCCACCGGACCACACCCACGCCACCACCAGCCGAGGAGACGGTGGCGCCTCACCGAACGAGGCCGCCGCCCCAGATTCCGACGCCCCCCGCTGGAGAAACGGAGCAGCAAAGGCCCCGCCGCCACCTTCCTTGGCGACGCCCCGGGCTTGCCCGGCGGATGCCTCTGGTGGCGGCGAGGAGGGAGGGGAGGAAGGGGGGAGGCGGCGAGATCTAGGGTTGTCGCCCTCGAGCCGCCCGAGAGGGGCGACGCGAGGGAGGGGGGGATGTCCCTTTTGATCACAAGAATCAGTTCATCTCACACAAACATAATTAGTCCATCTATTCTGATACGTGGAAACGACTCGTCCCTCGCTTCGTCCCTGCCCAGGCAACTCAGGGTTCCCCTTCAAACCCTAGGTGCCGCCGCCCCCAACCCTTCCTAAATACTAAACGATAGTGTTTTTGAGCAGTGAATATGACTTCCAAAACATAATTTTGACAGTCACTGTTGTGTACTCAAAGGTCTTATATTAGTTTATAGAGGGAATATATAGTAGTTTACGAATTGTAGAAATACAGTAATATTACGAGAAAAAATCATGGCAAATTATAGTACTCCCTCCGTCCCATAATATAAGAGCGTTTTTTACATTACGGAGGGAGTACCATTTTCACCCAACCATTTATTCCTAGAAACCAATGTGAATACCCTTCTGTTCAGTATGAGCCAGATTTATACTGCATTGTTTGTAATAAGCCATCCATATTCAGTAACGGGGCAGTAGTAGTTCATAACCAGGCAACACGCAGTACCTGATGACATCGGGCTCCAGCATTGCTGCCTGCACCGGCATGGGTACGGCGAGGAGATTCGCGCAAGAGGCAGCGGCGCCAAGAAGAGCCATCCCTGAAACCGCTCTCCTCCCGGACACCTCGCACACTGCTCTGAATCCGCGGCATGTCGACCTGGTCGCCTTGGGTTCCGGTGGATGCGGGCGTCTGATTGGATTGGAAACGCCCAAGAACGAGGTCAGTTTGAGTCTTTGAGATGAAATTTCCAGAGAGAGAGAGAGAGAGAGGATCAAATCTGTTTCGAGAGAGAGAGGATTTGGTCGTGTTATGCGTCAGTACCTGGGACTGGGAAACGGAGAGGCGCACGGGAATGGATTGGGGAATTTTACGTGCGGCGCAGACTCCATTGTAAAGGTCTGGAGAAGGCAGTGGCGCAGTGGACAAACGCAAGTGTTTATCTGAATGCGGATAGAACTGAGAACCGCCCACACAGAATACATTAAATGAAACAGCAAATAAGGCATCTGTCATCAGGTGGCCGAGTTGGTCTAAGGCGCCAGGTTAAGGCTCTGGTCCGAAAGGGCGTGGGTTCAAATCCCTCTCTGGTCAACTATTTTTTCTTCCGAATTTTTATTTCTCTTGGTGATTGTATCCATTTCCAACGAGGTTTATAACTTTTTAGGGAAATGAGTAAAATCAACCGACTGATTTTGTTGAAAGATCAGCCGCTTCGTTCAGCTGCCACGTACCCCATCACATGTGTGTGGTGAGTCTCTCATTGTTGGTGCTGTAAAGCACGCCACATGTGCTTCGATGGAGCTTCCACGCATGTGCTTCGATGGAGGTTCAAATCCCTCTCTGGTCAACTATTTTTTCTTCCGAATTTTTATTTCTCTTGGTGATTGTATCCATTTCCAACGAGGTTTATAACTTTTTAGGGAAATGAGTAAAATCAACCGACTGATTTTGTTGAAAGATCAGCCGCTTCGTTCGGCTGCCACGTACCCCATCACATGTGTGTGGTGAGTCTCTCATTGTTGGTGCTGTAAAGCACGCCACATGTGCTTCGATGGAGCTTCCACGCATGGTTGTCGGCGCTACGACAACATCGTGTTGCGGCGGGAGCATCGCGTGGGCCGGTGGTGCTGTGATGGAGCATCATCGGCTCTGCGACTATGAACGTGACGGGCCGGCCGATGGTGTTACAACTCCAGCGATATGACACAGCTGCCAGTGCTGCAATGGAGCATCGCTGGGTCTGTGACGTGAATGCGATGGGGCGGCCGATGGTACTGCAACTTCGGTGATGTTACGCGGTCGTCGGTGTTGCAATGGAGCATCGCCGGATCTGTGATGATGAATGCGATGGGGCCGCCGTTGGTACTACAACTCCGGCGATGTTACGCTGTCGTCGGTGCTGCAATGGAGCATCGCCGGCTCTATGACGATGAACACGACGGGGGTGATCGGTGGTGCTGCAACTCCGGTGATGTTACATGGCCGCCGTTGCTGCAATGGAGCATCGCCGGCTCTGTGACAATGAACGGGACGTTGGGACGATGGTACTGCAACTTTGGCGTTGTTAAACGGCCGGCGGTGCTACAATGGAGAATCACCGACTCTATGGTGATGAACGCGACGGGGCAGCCAATGGTGCTGCAACTCCGGTGATCTTACGTGGCCGCTGGTGCTGCAATCTTCGCCCACCGTCATGCTTCAAGCTACAAGGCCAGCGACCGCTACTGTTGCAAGCTGGCCGGGCACGGCTGCTCGACGGAGTCACTCAGATGCTGCGTTGCAGCATGCTCGGTCGGTTGCGGCAAGCTCGCCGGCGTTCTGTTGTGGCTGCTCGCCGGAGTGATATGAAAGCTGCATTGCAGCATGCGTTGAGGCTGGTCATGGCAAGCTTGATGGCGTTTCACTACAAGCTGACCAGCGGCGTGGCTACTGCAAGCGGGGGCCTTACGGGCCAGTGAGCTGACGCCCTGGTTGGAGCTACAGGCTAGCATGCAAGGCAACTGAGGTGCTGCTTTTGCAACTTTCGCGTCTGCCGCGGAGGCGCTGCGGGAAACATGGGCAGTTCGGCTCGTTCAGGGGATCAAGCGGTCCTAATCATTCCTAATCCAGATGAATAGACGGCTAGCAAGGCGGCTTATCCTTTCCCAGGATCAGCCGACTTACGCGTAGCAGTGGCCAACTTTTTATTAATCCTACAACATTCCTAGATTTCTCTTCTGAAAAGATATGAACAACATATCAACGATTTTTTTTGGATTTTTTCTCACTCATCTAACACCTTAACGAATTTTTATTTCTCTTGGTGATTGTATCCATTTTCAATAAGGTCTTTTTAGTTAGAACTATTTATTACTCCCAACATTCCTAGATTTCTCTTCTGAAAAGTATGAAAATCCTTTTCTTTCTCCTTGGTAGTATTGTACTACAAACTTGTACTAGAAACGCAAGAACGCTATTTTTTTCTCTAACATATTTTCATTGATCTGACACCTTGGTGATTATAATCAATTTCTCTTCTCTATTGCGTTCGCTGGAGATGGATCTACCCCTTGCATCTTTATTTTGATCCTGGCTTGTGTGTAAGTGCATATTTTTTATTTTGTACCAAGTTCCCCAATAGTTGCATCATGAGCGGTTTTAGAAGTAGATGCAGGTACGATTTAAAAGCACATGGTGATGTGCGGGCATTACACAATTTTTTGTGTGGGGATTAGACCTGATCTTTTATTTGATGGTCTTGTTGCTTCCCTTTAAATTGCATTTTATTTGTTTTGACAACATAGTGAGACTTTGTTACAATGGTATGGCTTTTCATGGTCCTTCTACATTGCTCCTGAGTATCTTCGTTATCTGACCAAAGTCATACTCCCGTCTCTTTGGGTTTCACTTTAAATAAGGAAAGATAAACTTGGGCAAAACAAAGGGCTTGTAGATTTGATCTACGAGGGGTCACGCGTATAACAAAGTATAGTATGGGCTTGAGATTTTCATTAAGTCTCATGTTTCATACACGTCGACAATTCAGCTAGCAACTTCAAATAATCATGTTTGATGGTTACGTAGGCACTAAACGGCTTGCAACGGAAATCCTAGCACCATGATAACTTGCAAAAAAATTAGTTGTGTCTTAACTTGTTTTTGCAGGGTGTGTATGTGATGTGGTGCATCCTTCTTTATGGCAATGAGATAATATGAGATGGTATATGCTGTGATATATTTTTTGCATGATCTGCATGTATGGCACGATGGCAGGAACCATATGATTGTCACTTAACTTAATTCTGCTGACCAACGTCAGACTTCATGTAATGCAATTATTTCATTAGCTATGGAGATATCAATAGTTGTATTGCAAGTACATGGTGGTGGCAGGTTATGCGGCGATGGACCTTGATGCCAGAGTTGTACGTGAAGGAGTTCTCCGGAGAAGAAAGCTTGAAGAAACATGCAATGATATATTTTTGAATATGCAATGATATATTTTTATTTTGCCACGACAGTGTTTTCTCTTACAAACATCTGCTACTTTAGGGTTTTCAAAACTGCTACCATGACATGAAAAAGGGCTGCCACGACGGCTTTTTAGAAAAACATGTGTGAAGACGACCTGTACTTCTCCAGTGAAAGGGGATATGCCATATCACACTATTATACATTGTCAGTGATGTTTATCCCTTTTTATGCACTATTTGATGCATGATACACGTGTTTTATAGGGTGGTCCCTCACAAAAATATCGAATAGTTAGTGTTCCTCTCAAGTGTAGCACCATCTGGAGCACATGTCATTTTGAGGTGCGCCATGTCACATGGGTATTATAGACTTGTCGTGTGTAAGGCCGGTGCAAATGTTCCCCTGAAAGTGCGTTATATCGACTAGAGGGGGGGTGAATAGGCGATTTTTATGAAAGTCTTCAAAACGTGGAAGTTATGAAGACAAACAGAGAAGATTTTGCCTATTACTATGCAGCGGAAGTTAGATTACACTAGGCAAGCCATGGTCAAGTATTCAATAGAGTGAAAGCACAAAGATAAACAGGTGCAGTGTAATAAGGATCAGGTAGGAAGAAGTTATGAAGCCAAACAGATCATACATTCACGTTGTGAAGACAAAAGATAGAGCAAGCATGCAATGACTTCACAATGAGTGACAGTAAGAAAAGGGAAGTGAAGATGAAACCAGTGACTCGTTGAAGACAATGATGTGTTGGACCAGTTCCAGTTGCTGTGACAACTGTACGTCTGGTTGGAGCGGCTAGGTATTTAAACCTTAGGACACACAGTCCCGGACACCCAGTCCTGAACACGCAGCTCAGGACACCAAGTCCTCACCGTATTCTCCTTGAGCTAAGGTCACATAGTCCTCGCCCAATCACTCTGGTAAGTCTTCAAGGTAGACTCCCAAACCTTCACAGACTTCGTTCACTGGCAATCCACAATGTCTCTTGGATGCTCTGAACGCGACGCCTAACCGTCTGGAGGATTCACAGTCCTCAAGTGTAATAAGTCTTCAGATCACACAGACAAGAAGACTTAAGTGATGTCCAATGTTCTCTGGCTTTGGGTGGTTAGGGCTTTTCTCCTCACTAGGAATTTTCTCTCAAAGGCTTTGAGGTGGGTTGCTCTCAAACGACAAAAGCCGTGCACTGAAATCTGAGCAGCCAACCGTTTATGGTTGTAGGGGGTGGGCTATTTATAGCCACTTGGCAACCCGACCTGATTTGTCCGAAATGACCCTGGGTCACTAAGGAACTGACACGTGTCTCAACGGTCAGATTTCAAACTCTCATGGCAACTTTACTTGGGCTACAAGCAAAGCTGACTTGTCCGGCTCTGGACAAGATTCGCTCTCATTGTCTTCATTCGAAGACATAGGTTTTTAGTTTAGGCATCACTTCAGTCATTCTGACTGGTTCTCCTGGACCCCACTTAACAGTACGGTGGTTCCTATGACTCAACACAAAAGAAAAAGAACTACGAAAGATCTAAGTCTTCGAGCTCCATAGGCTTCATAACGTGTCTTCTTTTGTCATAGTCTTCAATGTGAATATCTTCATATGCCACCTTTGGCTTCAATGTCTTCATACATTTTTAGGGGTCATCTCTGGTAGTAAAACCGAATCAATGAGGGACTTCTACCTGTGTTATCCTGCAATTCTCATGAACACATTAGTCCCTCAACTAGGTTTGTCGTCAATACTCCAAAACCAACTAGGGGTGGCACTAGATGCACTTACAATCTCCCCCTTTTTGGTGATTGATGACAAACTAGTTGATGTTTTCAACGGGGAATATAGTCTGTGAAATTGTAAAGGATAAGGAATCGTCTTCATAAGTTGCAAGGGCTCCCCCTGAAGATGTGCATATAAGTTAATTTGCTTTTGGAATGC